TCCCTAGGATCAATCGGGGATCACCAGTGGACCTCTGACAGCACATCCCAATTTGCTGTAGGTGGTGCACCATGCTTCTTCTTGCTATATTTTGTGTGAATCAAGAAAACAGGAATGAAATGACTAAGTGAAAGTTGGGTACAAAAGGCAAACCCTAGGAAACTGTACCCCATATGTGCTACCCCACTATAGCCTACAGTAGCTATGTCAAATAACTCTGACACACCCCCATAGGCAAAGTGGGGGAGAACAAGGGGTCACAAGACCAGTCAAGCAAAGCAAAGCAAGCTCAGGGTGGATCACAAAGTCACCACACATTCCGAGCACAAGTTCAAGGCCACAAGGCCAGTTCACATGCAGGATTACATATATATATAAGGCTAAACAAGCAAGAGCAGGAGTATATATATATGCAACAGTACAAACAAGGTCAAGAGGTGAGCAAGTGAGGCAAGGTAGGCACAAGACCCAGCTGAGTACAGAAGCGCTGATGATCACAAGGCGCAAGTGCCTTGGTGAAGATATCAGCAGTGTTGGCCTCAGAGGCCACGTACGCAAGTCGCAGCTGACCGCGTTGCTGTAGCTCACGAGCAAGGAAGTAGCGAAGAGCAATGTGCTTCGTTCTGTGCTCCAGTCTCTGCTCTCGACACAAGGCCAGCATGGCCTTGTTGTCTACGTAGAGCACTGGAGGAGAACGAGGCGGCTCTCCGAGGTCAGTCAGCAGGTAGGTGAGCCAGCGAAGCTCCTGTGCAGCCATGGCCCCGGCGTAGATCTCAGCCTCGCAACTGGAGCCGAGAACAGAAGACGAGCGAGTAGCCCGCCACGAAACAGAGCCGGAACCAAGGCTGAAGGTGTAACCCTGTGACGACCGCTGCGTAGCCTGGTCGTCAGCCCAAGAAGCGTCTGCGTGTCCAGTGAGGACCACTGGACTCTGCCCTCCAAGCACAAGCCCCATGCCCGATGTACTGCACAAGTAGCGCAACACCCTCTTCGCTGCAGCCATGTGCTCCGGTCTGTGTCTCCCAGGAGCAACATAGCGTGCAAGAATGCTAAGAGAGTATGCAAGGTCAGGTCGTGTGCAGGTCATCAGGTACATGAGGCAGCCAACAAGCTCTGGGTACGGGCCACTCGACTCTACGGACTCATCCGAAGGCAGAGCTGAGAGCGAGTGGCGAGTAGGCAGAGGAGTGGCCTGAGGCGAGGAGTACGTGAAGCCGAAGCGCTGAAGGACCTGCTGCACCATGTGTGACTGAGTCAGGGTAATGGTGCGGCGTGCTCTGTCCCGGGTGATCTGCAAGCCAAGGTAGCTGCGCAGTTCACCCAGGTCTGTGCACGTGTGTCTCTTCTGCAGCTCGGACTTCACGTGGGCGAGTCCAGCAGTGTCAGCTGTGGCAAAGACCAAGTCGTCGACGTACACGAGGATGTAGAACGGCTGCAAAGAAGTGTCGGTGCGCAGAAACAGCGACGGGTCGGCAGTAGAGGGAGCAAACCCAAGAGCCGCAAGTGTAGTCCTCAGTGTGTCGTGCCACTCACGCGGTGCCTGGCGGAGACCGTAGACTGGCCGCCGGAGGCTCCACTGGGTGCCAGGAGGAAAGGACCCAGTGAAGCCAGGTGGGCGACGCAGCCAGATCTCCTCGTGCAGGCTGCCCTGCAAGAAAGCAGTGCTGAAGTCAAGAGAGTGCAGCTCGTAGTCGCGGTGAGCAGCTATGTGCAGCAGTACCCGAAGAGTGGTCATCTTCGGGGTGGGAGAGAAGGTTTGAAAGTAGTCAACTCCCTGCCGCTGACTGAAGCCACGAGCCACGTAACGCGCCTTGAAGACAGGCGGAGAACCCGGCGGCCGCTTCACCCTGAAAATCCACATGCCACTGACGATGTTCGCCCCAGGCGGGGGAACCTCGTCAACGTAGGTGCCTGTGGACTTCCAGGAAGCCATCTCTGCGTCCATAGCTGCCTGCCACTGAGAGGAGTAGGGACCCTCTATCGCCTCCGCGTAAGAGCGCGGAGTCGGGATGTCAAGTGCATCCGGGTCTCCCTCAGGGGTAAGCAGTACGGACACGAGATGAGGTGAAGCAGCAGCCAAACACTGGAACTCCTCCTGCCTGTCCTCAAGGACGTCCGTGCCAAGGGCACACTCACCCCCGACGGACGGAGGACAGACAGACTCAGACTCAGCAACAAGACTAGCAGCGTAGTCTAGACGACAGCGAGCAGCAAAGTCGACGAGCTCAGTAACTAGGGCAGACGCAGCAGTGGACTCAAAGGAAGGGTCAGTGACAACAGTAGCAAGGAGACGCGTGACAGTAGGACTGGCAGCACGAAGAGAGTCCGACTCCGGGTCAGGAAGAGCAGGAAGAGAGGACTCAGGGGGAGAAGGCAAAGGGGCACGCAGAGGAGCAGTGGACGGACGCAGAGACATCCGGTGCGTGCCAGGGACAGGAGGAGGACGCTGACGCGAACCACGACCACTAGTGCGAGAAGCACGGACAGGCGACGCAGGGCGAGACGCAGGCTCACGACGCTCAGCAAGACCTCCAGTAGGACCAGTGTAGGGAGAAGGAGCGGGCAGTGGGGAGGCCTGCTGGAACTGTAACTGTGACGGGACAGGCTGTGGACACTCTAAGGGAGGAGGAGGACCAGTAGAAGGCGGGAGACCAAGAACCTGCTGAAGGAGCGGAACGAAGTACGCTCCAGACACAGCAGGGACAGCACCAGTACCCCCAGCGGCAGCACCAGCGCCAGCAGTACCTCCAGCTCCAGCACCCCCAGCAGGACCGCCTCCAGGACCGACAGCAGTAGCCTCAGCGCCAACACCCTCAGCAGCTCCAGCTCCAGTCGTACCCGCAGGCCCAGCAGCTCCAGTACTCCCAGTACGAGCACCTCCGGGACCCGCGGCACCAGCACCCTCAGCAGCCGAAGAACCTCCAGCTCCAGCAGCACGCCTCCAGCGCCGGGCAAACCACTCGCGCAGCTCCTGTGGAGAGAGTGCCTCCCGTCGAGACGAAGCACCTGGAGAACCTCCAGGCTCAGCACCGCCAGACGCCACACGAGCAGGCCCAGCTCCCTCAGGCTCCGCACCCCCAGGCTCAGCACCTCCAGGCGTAGCACCCCCAGGCGTAGCACTCCCAGGCTCAGCACCCCCAGGCTCAGCACCCCCAGTAGTAGCACCCCCAGGCTCAGCACCCTCAGGCTCAGCACCCCCAGTAGTAGCACCCTCAGGCTCAGCACCCCCAGGCGTAGCACCCACACGCTCAGCACCCCCAGAGTCAGCACCCCCAGGCTCAGCACCCTCAGCAGCACCAGAGTCACCAGTAACCTCGACAGGCTCGACTGCGTCTACCTGGGACACACCTGAAGGGGCAGGACCCTGAGGGGGGAGGGGGTCGACCGGGGGGGGACCTGGGATAAGGAAGAGCGGTGGCGGGGGGAGGGACGGAGTGCGGTAGGGGAAGAGGCGGTAGTAGGGGACCGACTCGTCAAACGTGACGTCCTGGGAGGACAGAACACGGCGAGAGGTGGGGTGGTAGAACTGCCACCCTGGCGCGTCAGGGGGGAAGCCAAGGAAGACGCAAGGAGCAGCACGAGGGGACAGCTTGTCCGCAGACAAGTCGCGGACAAACGCCCGAGATCCCCAGACACGGAACGCAGACGCATCGCCAACCTTCCCCGTCCACAGCAAAGCTGGGGAGGTCTCCGGCATGGAGACCCTGGGGTGAAGGTTGATCTGATGCGCCGCGTACCGAACCGCAAACGGCCACAGAAAATGGGGGGCAGCCGCATGCATCATGGACGTACGGGCGACATCCATGATCATGCCAATGCGGCGCTCAGCAATCCCATTTTGCTGTGGAGAGTCCGGAAGCGTGAAGGTCTGGCGGATGCCTCGTGCACGACAGTAGGCTCGCAGAAGGCCAGAGGAGAACTCTCCACCTCTGTCAGAGTGCAGACGCTGAACAGGAAAGTCCGAGCCGAAGCTCTGCCTGAGCTGGAGACGAGCTGCGCGGATCCAGTCGATCAACACCTCAGTGACATCACCCTTGCTGCGCAAGGGGAAGACTGTGGTGTAACGCGAGTAGTCGTCAACCACCAGCAGGAAGTAGCGCTCGTGACCCTGTCCACGGACGCGGGCCGGGCCCCACACGTCCATGTGAAGTGTCTGCAGCGGGGCCTCTGTCGGAGGAAACTGGGAGGAGTGAGGGGCAGCCCGCTGCCGCCCCTCGACACAGGGGACGCAGGTAGGGCCAGGCCCCGGAGGAAGGGGAGGGAGGGACCGGGGAAGACCAGAGACAAGGACACGGGAGGCCATGCTTCGGAGACGAAGCAGGGAGGGGTGACCAAGGCGGTGGTGCCAGAGGAGAGTCTCGTGAGACAGGAGGCGACACGAACAGGGGGCAGACTCAGGACCAGACCTGGACGCTGCAGCAAACACCTGACCCGACGCAGCTACCTGACCAGACGTAGTGACTGGAGGAGACGCAGTGGTCAGGGTGTACAGGCTCGACCCCGACCGACGGGTAAACGTGGCCAGGTGTCGGCCTGTCCGAGCGTCCGTGCAGTGGGTCACCCGCTGACTCGCAGGAGTGAACTGGTGAACCCCCGCATCCTGTAGGTCAGCACCACTCACCAAGTTCGTAGAGAACGAGGGAAGGTAAAGACCAGACAGGGTGCCAGAGGGGGCCGCCGGACACGGGAGGACAGTGGAGAAGTGAGCAAGGACAGGATCCCCAGAGGGGTCTGCCAGAGAGACTGCAACTGGCCGGCTAAGCGGCGTGAGTGTGGTGCGGTCTCGAAAGAAGGAGCGAGAAGCCCCCGAGTCAAGGGTGAAGGTGTGGGAGGCCGAAGCCGACGCAGAACCTGAGAGAGCAGACTCACCAGCACCTGAGGGAGCAGACGCACCTAGAGCAGCAGCCTCGCTAGCACCTAGAGCAGCAGCCTCACCAGTACCTAGAGCAGCAGTCTCGATGCCCGGGTCGGGCGGAAAACACCTGTAACAGTCACCCTCATCACTAATAGTCACAGTATACATGGCAGCAAGAATAGCATCAAAGTCAAGGTCAAAGACAGCCACACCCGCCCTAGACAGCTCACCCCAGCGGGGGATCTCAGTGGCCTCAGGGAACTGGTGACGCCAAGCGTCCGTCAGGCGGCCAAAGCAGCGCTGGGTGGAGTGCGCACCCCCGCACTGCTCACCCGCGCGGTCGCCGGTGCGGAGGACGTAGGTGCACGGACCAGTACCCCCACCCCTCTGGCGTGCAGTGTACCACTCACGGAGCTGCTGAGGGGAGGGGATGTCACGAGTGCGCTGCTGCTGCTGCTGCTGCTGCTGGCGCTGACCACCACCGGAGCCGACCCTCTGCGCAGCGCCACCCCGACCAGCTCCACCTCCTCCGCCGCCTCCTCCTCCACCGCCGCCACCTCCGCTCCCTCCGCCACTGCCGCTGCCGCCTCCGCCTCCACTGCCGCCACCGACACCTCCACCCCCGCCACCACCCCCACCGCCACCGCCACCTCCTCCACCTCCTCCACTGCCGCCTCCACCGCCCCCGCTAGCTCCTCCAGCGCCCCTGCCCCCCTTGCCCTTGCCAGGGCGGCGTCTCCCGCTAGGGGTAGACGCCGCACCGACCGACTCAAGCCCAACGAGGTCGGCCGCAACAGCAGAGGCAACAGAGGGCAAAAGGGGGGAGGGGGAACACCTCTCAAAGATGGGGGTGCGAGGGTCACCACGAGAGGCTCCTACAGCTACTATGCTCTTCTCTGCTGCTAGGAGGGACTTCTCGAGGAGGTCAACGGTGAGAGTGGTGGGGCAAACTGAGAGGAAGTGGTCCCTGACTACGCGAAGGGAGTCAGGGAGCCGGGTGACTATGTAGTAGAGGGTGATGTACATGGGGGGGGGGTTCTTGGCGCAGAACTCAGCAGGAAGCGCAGCGCGGTAGCGAGTGTCACTAGAGCGTAGGTGCGTAATGAGGTCAGCGACTGTGGGAAAGGCAGCAAGGTCAGGGAAGAGGTACGGTAGCATGAGGCGACTCAGTGCAGCAGTGGCAGGGGAGGAGTAGCGTGCAACTACAGCGTCGTACAAGGTCTGAGCACTCTTGTACTGGCTAAAGTGCGCACGCTCAGAAGTAGGCAGGTGGCGACGCACAGCAAGACGTGCAGCAGCATCGCGCGTGGCCCACTGGGAGCGAACAGTTGCGTCAGCATCAGTGGCGGGGGCAGGAGAGGCACCAGAAGTGAGGTCAAAGAGGGAGAGGCCGTCTGCCCTATCGCACTGTAAGAAAAGCTGCAGGTCATCTATCCAGACGTCAAAGTCAATGGCCCGACCCTCAGCGTCAAAAGCGAGGACACTAGGGGTAGCCATGACAGCAGTAGACTAGCAGCGCAAACAGTGGGGTGAGGGCAGTGCTGTGAGAGAGGCGCTGCTCTTACCGGACAGGGCGGCTCGGGCGGCTCGGCTGCAGGGCGGCTCGGCGACTCGGCTGCTGGGCGGCTCGGCTGCTGGGCGGCTCGGCGGCTCGGCTGCTGGGCGGCTCAGCGGCTCGGCTGCTGGGCGGCTCGGTGGCTCAGCTGCTGGGCGGCTCGGCGGGGCCGCTGAGAGGGCGGCGTCCGGGGCCGCTGGGAGGAGGCGGCGGGGCCGCTGAGAGGAGGCGGCGGGGCCGCTGAGAGGAGGCGGCGGGGCCGGAAAGGTAGGTGGCGGGGCCGCGTCAGGGGCCGCGACAGGGGCCGCGTCAGGGGCCGCGTCAGGGGCCGCGGCAGGGGCCGCGTCAGGGGCCGCGGCAGGGCCGCGTCAGGGCGCCGCGTCAGGGGCCGCGTCAGGGCGCCGCCAGGGGCCGCGGCAGGGCCGCGTCAGGGCCGCGTAAGGGGCCGCGGCAGGGGCCGCGTCAGGGGCCGCGTCAGGGCCGCGTCAGGGCCGCAGCAGAGCCGCGTCAGGGCCGCGTCAGGGGCCGCTTCAGGGCCGCGGCAGGGGCCGCAGCAGGCCGCGTCAGGACCGCGTCAGGGGCCGCGGCAGGGCCGCGTCAGGGCCGCGGCAGGGGCCGCGTCAGGGCGCCGCGTCAGGGGCCGTGTCAGGGCGCCGCCAGGGGCCGCGGCAGGGCCGCGTCAGGGCCGCGTCAGGGCCGCGGCAGAGCCGCGTCAGGGCCGCGTCAGGGGCCGCTTCAGGGCCGCGGCAGGGGCCGCGGCAGGCCGCGTCAGGGCCGCGTCAGGGGCCGCGACAGGGCCGCGTCAGGGCCGCGGCAGGGGCCGCGTCAGGGCGCCGCCAGGGGCCGCGTCAGGCCGCGTCAGGGCCGCGTCAGGCGCCGCCAGGGGCCGCGTCAGGGCGCCACCAGGGGGCGCGTCAGGGGCCGCGATAGGGCGCCGGCAGGGGCCTCGTCAGGGCGCCGCCAGGGGCCGCATAGGGGGCGCGTGGGAGGCGGCGTAGGGGCCGCGTAGGGGCAGCGTAGGGGCCGCTAAAAAAAAAAAATTTTAGGGCAGGGCGCAATGTGCGCGGGCAGCTAAAAAAAAAAATCTTATGGTGGGCCCTTAGGAAGGAACGGTCCCATGTAGGAACCCGCTCTATACCATGTGAATCAAGAAAACAGGAATGAAATGACTAAGTGAAAGTTGGGTACAAAAGGCAAACCCTAGGAAACTGTACCCCATATGTGCTACCCCACTATAGCCTACAGTAGCTATGTCAAATAACTCTGACATTTTGTACTCATCTTTCTTAGTGAAGCCACTTCTTCCTGCTTCAACTCTCTCGACACCTCCTTCAACCCTAAAACCTAAGCTACTAAGTTGCTCTAGCCATGGCTTCTAAGCCCAAGTAATTGCTTAGTATCTTGACACAAATTGCAATAAAAAACCATCAGGAAAAAGGATGCAGACTGGAAATTAATTTAACAGAATGGGGTCGACGGCACCGTCAACCCTCAGTCGACCATGGACTTGCTGACTTAGAACAAAAGAAAACTAAAACTACATTGAATGGCATGTTTTGTAACGATGGCATCATCCTTAAACGTTATGCGACAAGGTGTTTAAGGTTGATGCCATCTGGACTGGATGCCTTTCCGCATGGAGTTTAATTTTAATTGCCTGCGGGCAGCAAGCTCTGCTGGACAGTGTCGTTTGTTTGCTGTGATAATCCAAGCGGAAGGCATAGTTCTAAACACTTGACGGCTCATTTAAGGTTAATATCCGAGCGTTTTAGTATTTCTTCTGTTTTGTTGGGTACGTGCGGTCGAGGTGCTGGTCGCGACTTTGTTTTAGAATTGTACTTAAAAATTGATCAAACAGAAAGTTAAGTTACTATACCGAGAAAATGTCGGCTGATTACGTTCGCGAACCGCGCCTGGCATAATCTGAGTATCAATGATATTGGCCGCGCGGGCAGGGGTAAAAAGACGTCAAATTTCAGGTCATTCTGCGTGGGGTGGGGTGGAGTCTTGGCAGAATGAGGCACTGTAGCAGCGCATCTTCCTTGGGCCTTGGGTTTGACGAACGGCAAAGTGTCGCAAAATCTTCACGTCGATCAGACCGCGATTCACATCAGCGACGGAGAGCAAGATTGACATGTCAAAGTGGGCAGTGTCAACTTGGCATTTTGACACTCTGCCAACATTGTTGGCAGAGTGTCAAGAAATTGCAGGTTGATCGTCGAACACTTTTGAAATTGGCACAGACAAACCTACAAACGAGAGAAAATTGTCGCAGGTACCTATCTCACGACCAGATGCTGCCCAATCAGCACACAATATGTCTTTTGAATTGTTCGTTGCCTAGCAGATCTAGCCATGACAAATTCTCAAACCAATGAAATTGCGTCGCTGATGTTCGTACCTGCGCTTTGACTTGACACTTCCACTACAGTGCTTGACACTCTAATTTGAATGCGCTTCGGGCAGGCCCTCAGATTCACTTTTAGGGACGTTGATGCATTAGGGTCCCTGTGAAAAAAAGCCTGAATTTTCAGGGTTCCTAAAAAAAAAAGGCTGAATTTTCAGGGTTCCGGAAAACAAAATCCTGAATTTTCAATCACATCATGCAACTGTGCAAGAGAGTAGCCTTTACGAATATGGTAGTAGAGGGATTCGAACCGGAAACCTTACCAATTGTTACGAGTGCAATTGAGTGAACGAACGAGAATTGCACTATCGAAGCAAGAGTACAATGAGCGAAGGCATGAGCGAAGAATATATAGCGAAACTACAGTGGTAACGGTAATGGACTGTGGTTGTCGCGCGACGGGCCTGGGACTGAGGTTGGGAAAAAGTGTCGAAGCGGAGGCCCGGAGCGCGGGTTACCCGCCGAGCTGTGAGGTCGGGGTGCGATGTGCGAAGGTGGCGGGCAGATTGTCGATGCGAGGGTTGTGAGTGGTAACGGTGCTGACTGTGGTGCTACAGTGATGTACGCGTTGAGCAGGGATGCGAAGTAAGGAAAAGGAATTTTCCTTACACTACCCCCCCCCTAAGGAGGTCCTCCTTACGAGAGTGCGTGTACATCCCTGAAATTTCGGCTGCGCAGATACTCGGTGAGGACGGGGTGGTTTTCGATTCTGTCCAGGGGAACCCAATTGTCTTCGGTGGGTGTACGGTCCTTCCAGCGGAGTAAGAACTCGATCCTTCGGGCTCCTCGAGGGTCGCGAACTCTGTGACTCAGGATTTTCTCGGGGGTGATGATTGGTTCAGTTGGTGGTCTTGTCATGCTGGCTGGGCGATTGCGTGGCAGTTGGCTCGTGGACGGGACGTAAGGGCGAAGTAGGCTGACGTGGAATGAGGGGCTGACGTACCAGTCAGCAGGGAGGAGGAGGTGGGCGGTGACGGGTGTAAGCATGTGGCTTATGCGAAATGGCCCGCAGTATCGGGGGCGGAGTTTCGGGGTGATGGGCAGTCGGAGGTTCTGAGTGTCAAGTAAAACTAAGTCGTCGGGCTGGTAAGTGACAGGTCTGCGGTGGCGGTCGGCGTTGCGTTTAGCGATGATGTTCGATATTTTTATTGCGTCTACTGCCCGGGTCCGTGCTGCTTGTAATATTTCGGCGAACTGTTGTGCTCGTGGTACTGGGTTGTCGGGATTCGGGGTCATGGGTACTGTCAGGTCTTGTCCGTAGTTTAGGTAAAATGGTGACTGTTGGGTCGTGGCGGATGGCGAGTTGTTGTACGCGAATTCGATTAGTGGCAGTTGCTGTTCCCACGTGGTCGGGTCGTCACACGTGGCCCTGATGAGCTGTTCCATGGTCTGATTTGTCCGTTCTGTCTGTCCGTCGGTTTCGGGGTGGTATGATGAACTGAACTGCAGTCGCGTGCCGAACTGCTGCCACAGGTTCCGCCAGAAGTTGCTGGTGAATTTTGTGCCGCGGTCGCTGATGATCGCGGCGGGTATCCCGTGCAGTCGAACGACGGTGGAGATGAAGAGGCGTGCTGTTTCTTCGGCTGTGATCGATTTTTTGCAGGCTGCGAAATGTGCCATTTTCGTTAGTCGATCGACGACGACCAGGATCGCGTCGTTCCCACTCGCCCCGGCTGGTAACCCCGTGACGAAGTCCATCGTCACCTGCTGCCAAGCACGCTCTGGGGGTGGTATCGGCTGCAACTGTCCCACCGGCCGCTGTCGTGATGATTTCATGAGCTGACAAGTGGGACACGATGCCACGTGTCGTTGTACGTCGGTCAACATTTCGGGCCAGTAATAATACCGCTGCAGCTGCTGCCGTGTTTTTTCTACTCCGAAATGCCCCGAGGTAACTCCGTCGTGTGCCTCCTGTAACAGTAATTCCCGTAGCAGTGTATACCCAGGTACCCAAATGCGGTCAGTCCCGGTTTTTACGTAATAGACTCCCTTTGCTGCTGCGAACTGCTGCGAATTTCCTCCTGTGAAGAATGGATCCGTCTGGTACCCGTGGGTGAATAGGCCTGTCAGTAGCGGGCTTGTCTGGGCGAGTAGTATTGCGTGGATCTGGGCAGTGGGGCGGGTCAGTGCGTCGGCCATGTTCGAGGCTCCCTTTTTGTAAGTGACCGTATAGTGAAAGTTGGACTCGAGGAAATCGAGCCAGCGAATCTGTCGTGGGTTGAGGTGTAGCTGTGCGCGAATGTACTGTAGTGATTTATGGTCTGTCCGTACTGTCACGTCCGCGTCAGTCAAGTAACAGCGCCATACTTTGAACGCGTGCACGATCGCAAGCATTTCACGGTCGTGTATCGGGTAATTTTTCTCGGGCGGATGCAGTTTTCGTGACTCGTATGCGATAGGCTGTAGGCCATTGCCGAAATCCTGTAGCAGTACGGCTCCGATGGCGATATCGCTTGCGTCGGTAACTACTTCGAATGGGCGGTGTGGGTCGGCGATGCGCAGGACGGGCGGTGAACAGAGAACATTTTTCAGGGC